AAAAAAAAAAGAAAAGAAAAAGAAAAGATTACGCATAACGAAATTAATTATTTGTACGTATTTGCACTAAATGAGCGATAGCATAAGAAAAAATAATTTCAGAATTTGAACATTTCAAACTTTCCCCTTTTTCAACTATTTTATTCTACTTTACCCTTTTTGCCTCGTTCTTCAATCATGCTTATAATTTTCAATTACAAAATATTCATAGCGTCAATCTTAATTTTATAATTTCAATTTTGACAAAATACACTTATAATGGCGATGTGAAAAGATTTTTAATATTTGTGAACCGTTGTTATTCCCGACTCAAAAAAAAAAAAATGTGAATAAAAAGCAGTACTATATACCCATTCTAATATGACTAATTCCATCGATGAAAACAGGATGTCTGATGGAGCAAAAGGAAAAGAGAATTACGCTTTCCGAAAACAAAAAAAAAAAAAGGATAATTCAAATTAATTACTCAAATATTAGATGACATAACGGGGAGAGGTACTATCAATGGGGTAAGAATTGATGTGAATTATTTTGGAATGTACCACTCTTTGCTTGCCTTTCTCTCTTCTACATTTGCAAATGTAGAAAAAAAAAAGCTGAACAGTACGAGAAAACTCGTATTTTTCTGCACCTATTAAAAATCACTCAATTACACCTCCCCGCATTCCCGCTCTCCCGCTCTTAATGGAAGAATGGACAGGAAAGGTCCTTTCCTTGCAGTTATTATTTCGGAACAGTTTTTAAAATGAGACACATTTAATAAATCAATATTCGTATATATGTGTGTGTATGTGTCTATATATGTGTGTATACGTATGTATGTGTGTATGTGTGTGTATGTGTGTGTACGTGTGTGTACGTGTGTGTACGTGTGTGTGTGTATATATGTGCTTGGACGACAGAATTTTAACAAATTTCCATTACAAACAAATCACATATTGAGTGATGATATTTATTACATCGAATATCTTTGCAATTATGTTAGAAGAATGCATTGATTAAATGAACCTATCATGAATTCGAGTGTGATTGAAACCTGTTAATCATTTTACTTTTCAAGCTAAATATGTGAGCAATACGAAATACCTATAGGACTGATG